GGGGGGAGGGGTAAATCAAGAAAATGCTAATTTTTTTCGCAAACTCAAAGTGAAAATTTTTTTGATAATAGTCCATCATTTTGTTCCAACATCAACTTCCATAAGTTTCATCTGGATCCCATACTCGAAAGTCGAGATTAAGCATACTGAAAAATCCTGGTTGCGCCACCGTCTATATTATTCTTTTTAGTTTCAGTCAATCATCCGAAATATCGTAAGTTTTGTTACAACATTTGTTTAAATGAAAATTAATTTTATTTGCATGTTTTAGGTCACTGTTCTTAGCAGGAGGTAAGTGATATTAAAATATTTTTTTATCGCATTAGAAAAATATTTTATTTAATCTATTTATTTTCGAATCAATCAATATGTAGCTGGTATGTTTTGTTAAAATATCTGTTTATATGAAAACTATTTGTTTTTTATGTGTTAGGTCAATTTTGTTAGTAGAAAGTTATTAATACTGAACTATTTCCTACAACCATAGATACATATTCTTTTTCATTATTTTTAGTTTTCAAACGAATCAATATGAACATGGTAACTGTTCTTCCAATATCTGCCCCAATGAAAAGTAATTTTTTTTCTGTTTTAGATCACTGTTCTGAGAGGAAAGTAAGTCATATTGAATTATTTCTGTGAGCGTATATTAATATCTTTCTATTCTTTTTAATTTCAGTCAATCGTCATAAACATTGTAAATTGTGTTACAATATTTGTTTAAATGAAAATGAATTTTTTTAATGTTTAAGATGAATGTTCTTCGTTGAAAGTAACTGATGTTGAACTTTTTCTTATAAGTATGCATAAATATTTTTTTTTATTGTTTTTAGTTTCAAGTCAAACAGTATAAACAGCATAAGTGGTATTCCAATATCTGCTTGAATTAAAACTCTTTGTTTTTGGATCAATGTTGTTTGTAGAAAGTAAGTGATATTTGACCGTTTCTTACGACCATTGGGAAATATTCTATTTTATTCTTTTTAGTATCAAATCAACCACGATGAACACGATAAGTGTTGTTAAAGTATGTGTTTAAAGGGAAACTAATTGCTTTTTATGTTTTAGATGAATCTTCTTAGCAAAAAGTAGGTGATATCGAACTATACTTACTCAAACAGGACGCTAAATTTGAACGATGTTGAAGAATCTTTTATGAGTATTATATTGATTATTATTTACTAGTTCTAATTTTTTCTTTACTGAGATGCGGCTTTCCAACGTCTTCTACGAATCAATATGGCTACGATTATCAAATGAAGTTCTGATGCATATAGTAGGTGAGTGTGTTCTTTAGTTTCTTTTTAATTTTAATTTTAATTGTATTTTTTTCATGTGAAGATTGATTCGTGTCAAGCAGCGCCTTCAATAAATTAAATTAATGATAACTTTTCAACGTAAGAGGAAGTACTACATTAGCATTATTAGTAATGTCTTCAATCAGAAAACACTATTCTCCTAGTTAGTTACTGTTTTCTTCGTTTAGATTTGGACAGACAACTTCTTCAAAGCATACAAATGGTCGTTTAAATGAAATCTGCTCGTTCTGTTTAAACCGAACTCAACAACATGGTCAACCACTAATATTACTTTAAGTGAGTGAAGGTTTTGTACAATTTTATAGACGATAGTGGTAAATAAATCAAGAACAGGATCGCCAAACAGTTATGACTGTACAGAGTGCTATTTTAATACTACCAAAAGTTCAAGATGTCGTAAAAGTTTAGATGAGCGTAATAACATCACGGAAAAACCATACGATAATTTTATTGTAGCATTTTAGGAGGCTTTCCAGCTTTTCATTAGACTCATACAAAAGTAGAGTATCTCATGAAATCGTCATGAACATTTCTTTTGCTCTTATAGAGGATCTTGCAATCAGTTCTGACAAAGTCCTGATGAAATCCTAGGAAGTTTCTTTGTGAGACATGTGGATTTGGAGGCTCTTGGTTAAATTGGTTTGAAGCGACCAATTACAGTCCTTTTTTTAAATTGCTCAGTTTTCTTGCGACTTAGTTATTCTATATACATTACTTCGCAGCTTAATAACTATAATTGAGGCCCATTATCCCTCACATATACCTTTTCATAAATCCTTAGGTTGGTTGAAGAAGTTAATCTACCCACTCATATACTTTTGCGTAAACCCTTGAGTCAGTTGAAGAGGTTCATCAACCCACTCATATACCTTTGCGTGAACCCTTGAGTCAGTTGAAGAGATCCATCAACCCACCCACATGCCGTTTCATAAACCTTTAGGCCAGTTGAAGAAGTTAATCAACCCACTCATAAACCTTTGCATAAACCCTTGGGTCAGTTGAAGAGATCCATCAACCCACTCACATACCTTTTCACAAACCCTCGGATCAGTTGAAGAGGTTGATCAACCCATTCATGTATCTTTCCACGAACCTTTTCAACCATTCATGATCTTGATAAACGTTTCGAAATAAATTTTCTGAACCTCAACTTTGGGTATCGTATTTTCATCAACCCTGTCTAAGTGGGTTTTTGATGATCTTATGAGAAGGTTTATCATCCTCATCAACCTTTTCAAAGGGTTTATGAAAATGCAACGTATAGCGAACCCTTTAAAGGTTTATGGACTTTATCAACCCTTTGATAAACGCTATAGAGTGAGTTTTTGCGACTCATAAACTCCATGTTCATCCCTTTTTTTAGGGTTTGTGAGTCCTTAATAAACCCTTCAGAAGGGTTTGCTATACGTTGCACTTTCATAAACCTTTTTTTCGTTTTTTATTCTACGGATTTTTTTTCAGTGTAATAATATATTTTGCCCCTATCTTTTTGTGTACTCAAAAAGTGAGTACACTACTAAAATCGGTCAGTGTGTCCGGCCGTCCGGCCGTTTATTCGATAACTTTTGAAAGGAGAGTCCGATTGGGATGAAATTTTCTACACAGTTCAGTCTTGACAATATCTCGGTCGAGTTCGAAGATGAGCATGATTGGCCCACCCATTCCTGAGTTATTGGAAAAATAGTCATTTTTCCCTATGGCTTCCCATAGGAAAATCGACTTGTCCTCACTTTCGTAAAAAAACTCTTAGTATTATATTCAAATAAAACTTTAACTATTATATGCCATTCGATAGAGAATTTCACGAGCTACAAAATGATATATAAAACATAAAGAAACGAGAAGGCTAATTTATCTATTGCAAAGATAATTCAGCAAGCATTAGTTCTGTTTGTGTCTACTCTCTAACTGGTCCACAATTAGAGCAGTCTTTCGATCACAGAGATGATAGTTCGAGGTTTTTTGGGGCGGAGAACTCAAATCTGAGCTCCATTTACCTCGAAATCCTATTGGTCGAACAGTAACCAATAGAAATCCAGTTATAGGAAAAACGATTTTTCTAAGGTAAATGAAGGTGAAGAGTTCAAATCTGAGCTGTATTCATCTCTAAATCCTATTGGTTGAGCAGTAGCCAATAGAAATCAAGTGTTTATGGAACAATTTTGCCAGGATAACTTTTACGTCCACACATTCTAGGATGACTCATCTGTCCCATTCACTTTTTGAAGTACACATAACTCTCTGATTTAAATCCGAGGTTTCCGCATTTATTTATTTATTGTTTCTGTTTTTTCTGTTTCCCCCCTTTTTTCTTATTTTGATTTTTTACTTATTAACCTAGCTGTTATTTTTTCTTTTTTGTGCTTAACAACATTTTTGTGCAGAGCCCTGATGAGTGTTTCTATTTATAAATAAATAACACGAAACGCGTCGGCGAAGCTAAATTCTGCATTTATTTGACGATTTTTATATAAGCACATCACTTATATTTGAAACATTATTTCCAGAAGATAATCGGTTGCTGAAAAGCAAAAGTTGAGATCAGCAGATTGATTTGTATTTTAGATATACAAGTTGGTCTGTTATACAATTGATTTACAAAAATTATCCAAAGGATTATAGAAATAATTGTGATTCTCTTGCAATATATTGATGGAAGTTTAATTGAAAGTTTTTCTTAGCTTTCAATTGAACTCTCTCTGAATTTTGTAGGTTAGAATTGAATTGCAGCATTTTAAAATTTAATAGCCGAACTTACCTGATGAAGACCCTTAAGCAAGGTCGAAACCGGTCGTAAGTATAGCTTGTGCTATTAAAAGAAATTCAAAATTATACACACCCACACTTCATACTTGTTCACTTTTCTTGTTTCTTTCCTTTCTTTGTAAATATTCACTTTGAACTAAGAAATATATCAATGTATTATCTATTCTAGATATATACTACAAAACAAAATATCTACAAACAATAACCCTCAAATTGCAAACAAAATACACCAGCAATCGCTACAAGTATTTCACATCTATGAAAAACAAATCAACATTCATCCACCCAAATTCTCCCAATATTTCAATACATTATTTATTCACAACCAACATCAACCATAGTCCACATGATCATACTACATTACAATGAACACATGGAACAATGAAAATGATACTAATATCAAACAATTGTTATTCATCGCCATGATTATTACAGATCCAACAACAACAGAACCGACTGCAATCAATATCCTAACAAATCAACATCAACCACAATCGAACCGTAAACAACATGCTACAGCAATATGAAAACGAGAAGCCCATACGGTAATAACATCAACGGAGACAGAGACTACACCAAATATTGACTAAAGCCACGGCAAAAAACGACAGCGACATCAATGACCAACACATCGCTCCTTCTGACAAGACCAAATCACATCAACAATGATAATCCCATATCAAGAACAAAACCAACAACAACATCAGTAGTAATAAAAAGTCACAAGACGCCGACCACCACACTATTACGGTCGCAAAGACAGATCATCGCGACGATACATACAATAACAATGTCATAAAGCACAAAAAGAGTATCCCGATATTCGGCTCAACCCACATCCAAACGATATACTAGTCCACCTTAAAAGTCTTCGCCAATTGACAATTGATTACTTTAGCAGTAATCGAAACCCGTGTCTTGCTAGCTTTTAGATTTGACTTCATATTAGAATGTCATATCTGTAACACACCCACACCCACACCCACACCCACACCCATACCCACACTCATACCCACACCCACACCCACACCCTGATAATTGATTACTTTAGCGGTAATCGAAACCGGTCTTGCTAGCTTTTGGTAATAGACTTTTTATTAAAAGTCAACTCTATTCAACACACCCAATAAATGGAGAATCTCTTACACGTTCATTAGAAGTTTCTACTCTTGAAACTCCTTGATGATAAAATTCTTAAGATGGAGCAAAAGTTTGAAAGTCTATTCAATAGACCTTCAACATTGTCAAGTCTTAGTAGGAGAATTCAAATTTCAATATCTTAAGCAATTGATAATTGATTACTTTAGCGGTAATCGAAACCGGTCTTGCTAGCTCTTGATAATAGACTTTTTATTAAAAGTCAACTCTATTCAACACACCCACATCCACACTCACCCACACTCACACTCACACCCACACCCACTTCATCCTCAACATTTCTTCTGATTAGATTCCTTTAATAAAGCGAGTTGCTAAGTGAGTATTTGTTAACACAGAAGAGAAAGCCACATGTGAACATGTCTTTCGTTCTTTATTGGACAACTCCAAGGTGATCATTTCTCGTTCTTTTTTCCTACCTTTCTTGCAATACACTCACCTACTAAATAAAAATGAATGTTAGAAAAAGAAAAATAAGACACATGCTTTTTTAACGACACTTGTTGCTCCTACATATTACCTACGACAACTATTTCGCTATGGAATTAATTATAGTCGCAACTCTCTTTGTAATCGTTATTACTCTGATATACATCTATTTGAAACGTGCTTACTCTCCATCACCTGGTGATCTACCAGGAGTGAAACCGCATATATTTTTTGGTAATCTAATAAATTCTGGTATATGGACAGGTGAATCAGCATTTCATCAAGTCTTACTCGATTATCAACATCATTTTGGTGACAAATTCCAATATTGGTTGGGTTCGCATCGATGTTTAGTTTTCTGTAGAATAGAACATGCACAAACAATATTTGCCGATCGTTATACTTTCGACAACTCACCATTAAACAATTCAAACTTTGATCTTTTTTGTCCAAATAGTCTTTTACTGTTGACTGGTGCTAAATGGAAACGACATATGCGAATTTTGTTACCGATGTTGAAACTAGCAAAGATTATCGGTCATTTAGAGACGATTGTTCAATGTGCTGATCGTTTTATTGATCAAAATCTTCATTCTGGTCAAATTCATCGAGATTTACTCTCATGCTGTGAATCACTTACAATGAATGTCATCGGATTCGTTGCATTCGGCTGCGATTTCGATATCCATGCTAATTCACAAATAAAAAAAGCTGTACATGATTTTGAATCCTATGTCAGGTGGCTATCGCCATTACCCTGGATATTTCGATGGTTAGGAAAAATCTATTTGAAATATAATTGGAAATATCAACGTGCCTCTCGATTGTTTCATGGATTGGCACAAAAGTTGGTCGAAGAAGAACAAAACAAACAAAGTGAAATGGAAAATGAACCACCGAAGAATCTCATTGCTGCATTGGTTTCATCATTGAATGAAGAAGCCAACGATGAACAAGTTTCATCTGGTCTAACAAGTGCAGAGATTTTCGATGAAATTTTGACGATGATCCTATTTGGATATGAAGGGATGCCACCTGCTCTATTATGGTTCATATTTTTCGCAAGTAAAAATCCTCAAGTGCAACAAAAGATGAAAGAGGAATTGCGTGAACATCATCTTCTGATGACAAATAATCTCAAATGTGTACCACCACTAACGGCAAACAATTTATCTTCACTAACCTATTGTGAATGTGTGATAAAAGAGGTTGGTTTTGTTTCAAAATGTTATGTTATTTTTGTAAAATTCATCTCTGTATGCAGGTTTTACGTTTGGCTCCTGTCATTGAATATACAATCCGTATAGCAACTTGTGACACCATCGTTGATGATGTGAAGATTCATCGTGGTCAAAATGTTTTTATTCCTTTGCATAACATCAATACTGATGCTCGCTATTGGCATCATGCTGATCCTCAACAATTTGTACCAGAAAGGTTTCTGGCTGAAGATAAAAATCATCATCCATTAGCGATGATTCCATTCGGTGGTGGACATCGAGCATGTGTCGGAGAAAAATTAGCTTGGCTTCAGTTGAAAACAATCATTGTTCGAATGATGCAACGTGGTATCACATTCGAAGATACGCCAGAAAACGTCGGCGGTTTCGACGGACGCATCACCTGCTTCCCAAAAAACGTGGTAGTGCGTGTGCGCTTCGATTGACTTGAATATTTCACGCTAATGAGACTAGAACTGCAGATAGCAAGCTGCCCAATTTTTCTTGAATACTTATTATCTTGTGTAGATGCTTGCTTATTGATTTGCATGAAAGTTATTATGATGCTCTAATAGATAGCAGAATTTATACGCTAAGGGTGTGGGTGTGAGGTATGAATGTGGGTGGGTGTGGGGTATCGGTGTGTGGGTTGGGTGTGGGTGTGAGGTATGGATGTGGGTGGATGTGGGTGTGAGGTATGGATGTGGGTGGGTGGGTGTGGGTGTGAGGTATGGATGTAGGTGGGTGTGGGTGCCCTAGTTTCAATCCTGTTCATTCCTTGAGAAACCTTGAAAGGATCTTTTAGGATCCTGAATCTTAAGGATCTTGTCAAGTTTTTATTCAGGATCCTGTTTCAAATCCTTAGTATTTCCTGTCTTCAGGATTTTTAAGGTAAAACAAGATCCTGTTCAGGATTTCTTTAAGTTCCTGCTCAGATATTTTTTTGAATTGAGAATACAGGATCCTATTAGGATTTTCTCAAGGATCTATCAAGGATCCTCTCAGGATAATGAGAGAGGATTTTGTCAAGATTGTATCGAGTTCTCGTCAAGATCTAGGCCAAATCTTTGTATCAGGATCCTGTCAAGAGTGATAGCCACAACAGACGAGGATCCTGGCAAGAAAATAATAAGATCCGTCAGAATATGAAACCGGCTAATCCCGCAACGCTTCAATCAGAATCTTGTTCAGAACTTTTCCAAGAATATGCGTTTTCAAAACTTGCAAGACAATGCCAATTCTAATCACGATCTTGATAAGAACATGTAAAGGATTTAGCAGAGATCTTTACAGGTCACTGCTTAGTGTACTCAGCCATGCCAATTTCTTGAGATAGCCTTGAAGGATCTTTTAGAATCATAAATCTCACGCATCCTGTCAGGTTTGTTTCAGGATTCTATCCAAGATTTGTTCATGTTCTTGCTCAGATTTTTTTCTGAATTGAGTTTGTACGATCTTACTAAGATTCACCGTTAATCCTATTCAGGAATCTGACAAAAATCATTAAGAAAATTTCATCAAGATTTCATTAGGTTTGGGTAAAGATCTGTTCTGGATCCTGGTATGAGGATTCTGCCAAGAGTTATAGTTATATCAGAGAAGGATCATATCAGGAATAAAACAAGATTGGTCACAGTTCTCAACTAAGAAATCCTGGCAAACTTTGACCAAGTACCTGAGCGGAACTGTTCAAGAACAGACGTTTCGAATACTTAGAAAATAAATACAAGTATCATCAGGATCTTGATAAGAAAATACAAAGAACTAGTAAAGATCTTTGCAGGTTTGTATTTAGAGACTATTCAAAATTTAATTTGCAGGATCCTATCAGGAACCTAATACGAATGAATGAAACGGTTCCGTGACGCTTTCAAGTAACAGAAGCTCAGGTTAGGATCCTTTCAAGATTTGTAAATCTAAAGGCTGCAACAGAATTTCAAATATCCATGTTCAGCAAAATTTCAATAAAAAAAATAGAAAAATTTTTAAGATGTTAATGTATTTTTGTTCGAAAGACGACAAAATTCCTAGAACTGAACAATCTAGTGGCATTTTTATCCTGATCTTGATGTGATTTTTTTCATACACTAATAGAAAGAATCTTAAAAATCTTAGAAAAAAATATTTTCTCAATCTCTTTTTAGTTTATATGAGTTGTTTTGAGATTCGGCTACAGCAATAAGTTCTTTTTTAAGCTTATGAGAAAAAGAAAATTGAAATTATTAAATTAGACTGTTGATTTGAACTTAGTCATGGTAAAATATTTTTTCTGTAAATATATAGTTTTAGTCAACAGCAAATCTTTCGACAAAAACTGCTTATACTTTTGATTATGTCTGAAAAAAAAATCGAAATATATTTTTTAAATAGAATTACATTCAAAAAAATTCAAAAGATATTTTTTTAATCGAATTGGAATAAAAAGAATTCAAAATATATTTTTAAATCGAATTGAAATTGAAAAACAATTCAAAAAATATTTTTAAATAGGATTAAATTAAAAAAAAGTTTAAAATATATTTTTTAAATAAAATTGAAATTAAAAAAAACAGCAACATGTCAGTGACTAAAAATATATGTAAAATGGTATCGAATTTTCAGAATTTTTTGAAATAATTTGTATTCAGATAGAATTTAAATAGAAGTTGAGATTAAGGTCAAAAATTAACATATTGAACGTTCAAGTGATATGGAATGACATGGCACATCCAGCTAGGTAAGCTGATCGGTATGTATACTGAAGGTCTAGAGATCGATACTCTTTGTGTTCATATATTTTCTGTTCTATTTAGAAAATCCTGCAAAGATCCTGCCAAGAAACTGATGACATCCTGAAGCAAACTTGATTCAATCCTACAAAGATCGTGTCAGGAAATTTGATAACATCTTGAATAAAGCCAAGTGAAAGCCTGAAGGATGTGATGAGGAATCTTTTTTTTTCCAATTTTGAATTATTGAAATCCTGAGAGGATCCTACAATTCCGTGGCTACACGCTCCTTTCAGGATTCAATAGTTTCCTGGCAATATCCTTATTTTCAAACAATGGTAATCTTGTTGATATCCTTGTTTTTTCCGATTTGAATCCTGATCGAAACCGGCTAAACCGTGGCTACACGCTTCTTTCAGGACTCAATGGTTTCCTGACACGATCCTTACTTTCAAGCAATGATAATCTTGTTGATATCCTTGTTTTTCCTGATTTAAATCCCGACAGGATCCTGCTAAATCGTGGCTACACGCTTCTTTCGGGATTTCGAGATTTCTTAGACGGAGCCTGATGTTCTAATAATAATAAACAGTTAAGAATCCTAATTGCTTCTTGATTCAAATCCTGTAAGGATCCTAATAAACCGTGGCTTCACGCATCTTTCAGGATTCAATCGTTTCCTCAGGAAAAAATGGCAAATCCTTCCAAGATCGTTATCTGATTTGCCGAAGATCTGCTACCGAAGTATCAAAGATTTTCCCTAGGGTGTGAGGTATGGATGTAGGTGGGTGTGGGGTATCGGTGTGTGGGTGGGGTGTGGGTGTGGGTGTAGGTGGGTGGGGTGGGTGTGGGTGTGGGGTTTGGCTGTGGGTGTCGGGTGTGAGTGTGGGGTGTGAGTGTGGGTGTGGGTGTGGGTGTGGGGTGTGAGTGTGGGTGTGGGTGTGGGTGTGGGTGTGGGTGTGGGTGTGGGTGTGGCTGGGTGTGGGGTGGGTATGGATTTGATAGTTCTTCGTATTTATATCCACATCTGCACCCATACTCACACTGTCACACTCACCTACACCCACACCCTATCTGCATACAAAAATGGCGGTGGTATCATGGACGATAGTCCAGATCGTATGCACCATAATATCAGATAGATTACCTTTCCCCTAGAATCGAGACAGTGCGGTCCTTGGAAATTTTCGATCGCAGCCAGTTTTCCTTTATATTTTGTAGTCATTTTGTAGCTATTATAAGGGTCTATCTGCACTTAAAAAATGGCGATGGCATCATGAGCGATACCCAAGATCGTATGAACCACACTATCAGAGAGATTGGCTTTCCCGCAGAGTCTGGACAGTGTGGTCCTTCGAAATTTTTGACCACAACATATTTTTCTTCATATTTTGTAGACATTTTGTAGCTCTCGAAAAGATCTATTATCTCTGAAAGTAGGAGATTCTTATAGTGAAGAGCCCTGATGAACCTATGAGCTGAATTATTGAATTAATAACACTAATGTCGTAGTTGGATATGCCGAGTAGAGGTCTAAGAAGATGCTCTAAAAGTGTTTCGGACGCTTTATTCTTCTATAGAGGAGGATGAAATTCAATTTGGGAAAGTGTTCTGAGTTGTTCTTTTTTTTTCTGGGCCATTTTGCATTCAAACCATGTCCCTTTTTTCTAGTAGAATTTTCAAAAAATACTCTGCGTTTTCGTATAACTGTTGTAAACCTCTATTGCTACATGGTCTCTGAAAAAATTGAATATAATATCTCGTTCAGTCGAGCTCTAAACGAGTCGAAGCGACGAGCGTTACTTATATTATTTCATTTATTAATGAGTTCTTAGTTTATCTTAATGAAAAAAAACACACTATATGAGTTCATTGATCTTTTTGATAGAAAGAAAAACTATTCAAGGAAGAAAAGAGAAGTTTTGAAAGATAAAATAACAAATCATGAACGAAATCTCTGTGTCCGTTTCGATCATCAATGTGATTCAAAGCACTTACGATGGTCTTTTTTAAAAGGACTCTATATTAGAATGCACTAGATTGTTAAGATTTTTGTTGACTACAGATCTATTTTTGCACTGTTTTCATCAAATTCATCCATTGATTGGTATCACTCGACTTTCTTCCTTTTCCTCATAGAAACTTCTTTCGATTGCGCGAATCATTCAAGTGTTACTATTAGTTTCTTCGTTTACATGTCGATGGATAAATACGATAAGTAATGAAGAGATAGCACTGTCTCTTATCGATGTTCTGTGTCATGTTCGAACCATCTTACGAGGAAACTTCCCCGAGTGATCAATCACTTTTTCATGGAAATATAAATGATTTTGTACAGCTTTTTACGCTGACTTTGAATATCAGAGCTATAGCAGCTCCTATGCCATAACTACTAAATTTCTTTTGGCAACGGTATTTTTCATCAGATTGAACTTCTAATCAGTCAATTATACGTGATTAACCAGAATATCCACAGGAACATTCTTTTTGACATTTCAACCTTAAGGGTGTGAGTGTGAGTGAGGCTTATCAGAAGACCAACAAATACACCCGCATCCACATCTGCAGCCTTTCTAGACTTGAGACTTTGTTCGTCATAGATTTCGATGATTAAGTTCTCATTAGATCTTTTCCGTGAAGATCTTTTTGTCTGTCTTTCTTTATGACAATCAGAACTAAGTGTATTTTCAACAGTGTAAAGGATGATATACTGCCATAGCTCTTCTAATCAATAGATACTGTAAACCTGAAGGTCTAGATTAAGTAGATGGACGGGTGAGTTGAACTTTGATAGAAGTGTTTTTTCCTTGTATGTCTGTCAGAAGATCGATTTCCCAGAGAGGTTTCCTCTGAATATATAATCAAATAGGTACGAGATCAGGATTAAAATCTTAACTAGGTGAAACAACAGCCGATCGAGATCGGAATCTATCGAGATAAGTATTTACATCAAGATGTATCTGGAAATATAGAAAGTCAATCAAAATTACTTGGGTTACAAATATTTTCTTGGTCTCTACATATCAGGACGAAGAGTTTCTCACCCCGAAGCAATCTTTCAACGTTATTATTCTATGCTCGCTAAGGGTGAGATCAGCTGTAATCGAGATTCAGAATATATTCGGGGATTTAGATCAACATCTGTGTGGGGACAATGATAATAGTTGTGCATATCAATTTCCTACTAACTAGGCTTTTTAGATCTTTTCAAGTACATTTGGATATTGTTTACGTATATTTAGTCTGAACTTTTCATGGCAATGCCTGGTACTTCTACCTGTCATATATATATATGACTTTCATTGGGTTTCATGGAATGTATCATTATTTCATGAAAGAAAATATGTTTTTTCTTCTAAA